TATTTAGTTTAAAAATGTGTATAATTCATTCAATAATTAATATGGAACAAACAAATGTATTAAATGCTTAGTTGAAATAATGTAAGTGGGTTTTGTATTATGTATGTTGCATTTTAAACATTCACTCATCTAAATTAAAAGCCATGAATGAAAATCAATTAAAATAAATTTAGTATGTTTTTATAAAATTTCTAAATTACCTAAATACACGAACACACATCACTATCGTGAATCACTGTTGTATAATAACTAAACCGATAAACCCATAATGGTCCTTTAGTCCATTACTATATAATCAATTTTCGTTATTGAGGTCATTATCGACGATAAATTATCGTAGTGGTATCTGAAGCAAGCTTAGTATTAGCATTAATAACTTAATACTATTTTTTTGTAAGTATGCGTCATATTTTAGAAAAATGCTAAAATATGCATACAACATTTCATTTTGCATACCATCGCATTAGTTTAAGATTCAAATTTGTAGCTTATCTAACTACTTTTTGGGCTGTTAAAAAAAATGCAATTGCATATAAATCTACTTATAAAATATTTTTAAAACATCACAATAAAAAAGACGCATCTAAATGCAACATATTATAGGTAGTAAGTAATAGCTATAATGAGTTGTTCAAGACATGTAAATAAATTGACATAGGTAGATATAAAAGTGTACATATACATCGCTAGATATAGCTTTGCTCTTGTTTTTTAGTTATTTTATAAAAGTATGTACCTACTTTATACTTACATATATATATATAACCTAACCTACTATTTAAAATGCTTGATGTAATAATAGTAATAATTGTAATAATAGAATTTATCTATCCAAATTAAAATTAAAATCAGGTATGTATGTTATAATTATTAGCTCAATGTAGGTAAATTTACATAAAATTACAAAAATAAAACTAAACAAGGGGGTAATCAGGTTACTGCTCTCTCGTCATTGGGTAGGCACTGTAGTAATAATGGATGTGTTAAATTTGAAATCAATGATAAATCATTATATTAAATACAATGAAAAAACGATTACGTGTCTAACTTTTTTATTACTTAGATTAGCAAACAATTATTTTAATAATATTTAAATAAATGTTCGTATTTTAGATTCTGAGTGTAGCAAATGATTTTTTTTGGTCTATCTTAAATATTTGAAAAGTGTTGAGCATTTTCAGTTTTGACCTCTTAAAAGTACCAAATAGATTCAATTTGCTACTAGAAACTTCTTACAAAGTTGATGATAAGATCATTTTTTCTGGGTAGGTACTAGAAAAAGGGTCTTCAGGCACAAAAAAATACACTTTGTAAAACCAATACATCCTTGATCCTTCCCTCCGTTCAGAATAAAATATGAAGTATAATTTAATATTAAATTTTACTGTAAATTATATATGAATTTATAGTCAAGAAAAATGAGTGAACATTTTGTGTACGTACTTACTAATACAATACTTAGTCGACGTTATATCGTATTATTGCTATTGTATAATAGGTAGGTATACTTAAATTATACTTAAATGCATGTGGGCATAATATTATTGTTCCAATCATTGGCTTCACATAATATGTATATAAAAGCATTTTTTTTTTTTTTATATTAGCTTATCCAAAACCGCTATTTATCGACGACAGTATAAATTGTAAATACGCTACCGATTACAAAATATAATTATAATCAAAAACATCAATCTAGATTGTTGGAGTAGGAACACATATTTTATTAATGTATGACCTATATTACACATATACGATATATGTGAATGCGATGGGTATATATAATAAATATTAAATAATAAGTTTTAAGTTTATCATAATATGAACCGTGGCGAATGAACTGTGCAAACGAAAAATCATTCATATAGACATTAAATCGATATACGAGTAGGTATATATATATAAATACGACGTGTACCAGCTATCCATCATAAAATTATGTTACCTATTCACCATGAAAATTTATAGAAAATATCAAACACGGAACAGACAACAGTATAGATTTAATAAATATTATATTATAATTATTAGCACACTGTTAACACTGCATTCCTCGTCATTATAGTTTGCGTTTTGTATTTGTATATATCCGTATATAGGTACGCATAACACGATAATTTATTACAATATAATATTATATAGTGTAAGCCGTACAGGCCACGTCATACACAGAGCTTATCGGTAAAAAGTAGGTACCTAGTAACTACAACAATAAATAACAATAATAATAATAATAATAATAGTGATGAATGGCAGCAGTCCAACATTCAGTGATCCTATTACATTAATATATTATTTTATTGTCTGCGTAATCTTATAATTAAATAATGGACCTACTTATCGATTCTCGTCGGTATATTGTTATAGGTAGAAGATAGTCGTTTATTATATTAAGTATATACTAAGCAATAGGCCTACCAGCCAACAGTCGTTTCAATTAAATTCTTTATTTTTTCTACATGAATCATTAAAATAGTATAAAACATTCATCGCGTCTAAATAATAAATACATACTTTTATGCGTACTACGATCCCCGTGTACCTAGGTTACCCATAATATTTCGGTCATGCGTATAAATAATTGCAAAATATGTGCCTATACCTTCCAAAATAGTCCATTTGTATTTCCAGAATATGAAGTCTAGGCTTCTAACCGATACACAGGCTTAACTATAGTATAATATATTATACACTTAAAGCCTTAACACTTTATACAGATTAATACAGTTGCGTCCAAAAGCCACACACTTAGGATTTCCAAAAAGGTCAATAGACAAAAAACCAAACACATAATTGGTTCATTTCAGGTAGGTATCTAGTTCAAAATTGAAAATACCTCACACATAGTTTGGGTTAAACCTGTATACAATTTGTAGTCGACAGACCTGCAAACGTATTGTGAACGTCAAAAACTTTCACCAAGTTTAAAAAAAAGCTTGGTAGAAAGACTACATTTTGTTCAAAATAATTGTGATATCCTTCCAGATTGAAACTATGACTAATGTTTACAAAGAAAATGAAATTTTTATTGTAACATGTACTAAAATAAATTAAATTCGTATGTAATAAATGAATTGAACATTTAGATGGCCGCACATTCTTTTAAATGTTTGTATTTAAATAAACATATACATAATTAATTGTAGGTATACGTATACCTAACGTCTTAGGTACTAAAATTGTAGTACTTTATTGTACTTATATTTTTAAGTACCTAATTATAATTCTGCGATTTTAGATTCAACGCTCATACATATATTATGTAAATGTGTTAACCATGGCTATAGCCATATAGATTTGTGGACTATTTATATTGTGAGACAATCCACATAATATGACATATTTTATATATTTTATTGTATATATCAACACATTTATTCTGTTTAGAGTTCTGAATGAAATTTTACTATTTAACTATTTTTTTATAATTCATTATGGCAGAATATAATATTAAATAGTTTTTAATATATAGGTAATCGATGAAAGTGTTTTTTTGTTGAAAATATCGAATTTTTTTATCAGGTATAAAGGCTTCAACAGCTAGGTCATTAGCCTACAATTATGTTAATATTTACATTAATTTGTATGGATTTGTATGATTTAGTTATTTGCTTACCTTAATTACGATGATTATACCTACATCAAAAAAAAATGTTATTCACATGTTTGCTTGTTATATATTAATTTATTTAATTTTAAATTATTATTATTTATCATTATCGATGGTTTTAAGTAAAGTTGTATATTCAGTAGATAGGTAAGGTGTTGTGTTTTCCCCAGTGACATAGTCAGGATTTTTCAATGAGGAAAGAGGGGTTGAAAATTAATTTTTTAAATATTTAAAATATTTAGTTAGTAATTAAGACTGTTGATTTTGAGCAATTACTTATTGTCAAATATTTAATATAGACTTAAACTTTCAGCATAAAAAATATAGGTACTACCAAAATATTAAGGTTATCCAATTCTTTTAAAATTGTATTCAAAATGTATTATTGATTATTTCTGTATCGTTTATACCTATACTCGTATAGTCGTATGTTAAAATACTTCAAGAAACCGATAATTTAGCACGCTCGCAGAGTGAGCTTCACCAACTTGTTTTGTAATTATTTGAAAAATGACAACGGACAAAGGTTTTAGCACAATGAGTATATCTTATGCGATGACAGAATACAATTTAAAAACAAATTTTAAATAAGACGCCACCCATAGTAACACTTGACTGAGAATTGTTAATATACAATTATATAATATAATAGGATCGATCATATCGATCCGTGTATCGATTCATTATAAATAGTTTACCTATACCACAAGTATATAAATATGAGTATTTTTTTTCATTGGCCATTGTTACGTAGTTGAAAGAATATGGCAAACTGTAAATAATTTATTATTATAGCCAGATTGTTTCTTTTTGAATCGAATATATAATTATTATATTATTGTTCCAATACATTTTCTATTATACATTGTCATTATTATTATTACTATATCTACTTATCTGTGAATGTTCAATTTTAGGAACAAAACTTATATTCCACTAATGGATTTTTCCCAACTGCTATATCAACATAATCAAATTATCAATTTTATCTTTTTGAGAACGGAAGAAGTTGTTCACTTAAGTTATATTCGGATCTATGAGCGTTTTTAAGAGATTTACTGTAGTATATGGACCTGTAGCGCACCAATAGCCAAAATTCTCAGGTGAGGTTCAGTCCCGCAATATGTTTTTGTAAGTATAATACAACCACTTAGGAGAAATTCAGGAAAAATGTATTAGGTATGCTTGAATACATTTAGTATCCACTACACATACATAGATTTCATCATATCTAGGACATTATTTCAGAGGAATTTTATAAATGTTAAGCAAGCGGTTTAAGTGTTTGTGAATACAAACATAAACCGTAATAGGTCCAACATTAATACAATATTTTAATATTGTACGTCACGCGACCTGGAGACAAAGACGACAAAATATAAAAACAAAATTGATTGATGAAAAATTAAGATCACGTTTTTATTGTTAAAAGTCGAATTAAAAGACTACGGAAGGATGAGAATCATTGTTGTGTGAGAGTTTTCAGTAATGGTGTTCGGGCTTTTCGTATTTGCCAGGATAGTATTGGCCATCATCTTCGGAGTGGCTCGAGTGTTCGGCCACGTAAGCTGATGGGACGGAGGCCTTTTCGTATTTGCCGGGATAGTATTGGCCATCATCTTCGGAGTGGCTCGGGTGTCCGACCACGTAAGGTGCTGGGAGGGAGACCTTTTCGTATTTGCCAGGATAGTATTGACCATCGTCTTCATGATGGCTCGGATATCCGGCCACGTAAGGTGCTGGGAGGGAGGCTTTTTCGTATTTGCCGGGATAGTATTGACCGTCGTCTTCGTGATGGCTCGAGTGTCCAGCCACGTAAGGTGCTGGGAGGGAGACCTTTTCGTATTTTCCGGGCCAGTATTGGCCATCGTCTTCGTGGGCGGCATAAGCTGTTGCTGGGTAAGCTGCTGGGTACGCTGCTGGGTAAGCTGCTGGGTACGCTGCTGGGTATGCTGCTGGGTATGCTGAGTATCCATACGAGAACGATCCAGGGGCTGAGGCAGAGTAAGCCAAAACCGCTGTGGAAAAAAAAATTGATTAATGTCACTATTTCGTATTTACTTAGGGACCATTTTAAATTTGTACGGGATTTCATATAGGCACAGGGGTGGATTAAACATGATCTTAAAGCTTTAGGCAAAATTGTTTAAATATTCCATTGTATGGCACTGAAGTTATCTTGAGAAAAATGTTCAACGTATTTTAAAGTTAATTATTTTGTTAGCAGGACCCAACACGAAATACTATCTTTTGTGACCAGACCACCCAAGTATAAATGCTAACAAACTTTAGTATTAAATATTTTATTAAGTTTCGTGATAGTTTAAAATAAACTTCATTTAAACAATAAATAAACCAATAAGTGTATAAGTATGTAATTTGAATTTATTTTTAAAATTTTAAAACATATTTTTAAAAACTTTTTGAGAATTCAATTAATTTAGAGTTTTACTTAAACCAATATTGTATTTAGTACATTATTGTCAATAATTGTTAATAATGCTAAAGAATTCAGTCTTTCTTCGATCATATGGTGGACCTGGGGTCTGTGAACCCACATGCAGTTTTTAACATGTCTAAAAACTGAAAATGTATGTTATCCTGTACAATAAACTAGGCGTATTACTGTTGTACTAGGAAAAAATATAAGGCCGGTTTACACGATGACGGTTGGTACTGTCGTGATAGCACTACAGTGGTAGTAAATGTCAACTATCCAAGGGTGACTAGATAGTGTGATTGTGCAGTCGTACTACCACGACAGCTGCCCATCATCGAATTGTTTACAAGACGACGATTTCAGGACAGTTACTGCCGTGACATTAATTATCACCATTTACTGTCACCTTTAATACCTACAATAAATATTTGGAAAAACACCATCCAGATTTTTTTTTAAAATAGGTTAACATTGTGAAAATAATGTACCAAAATCACTGGTACTCACTATTTAAACCTTGGTATGAAATAGAATATAGGTATTAGCTTGCTGTTTATGGAACTTATCATAACTAATAAATAATAATATAACAATATGAAATATTACCTATGTATCTGAATCACGGATGAAAAGAACAAAGTTACAATAAAAAGTTATTTTTATCCGTGATCTGATTACAAAATTAGCAACTGATAAGCAATCTGCATTTGTATAGCACATTTTAAATTTCGATTACCATTAGGTATCTACGAATAGCTAAAAATAACCTCCCCCGAATATCCAGCCCTAGGTTCAGCTAGGTAAGTGCCTACTTTGCCTATAGGCTAATCCAGAACTGTATAAGTGTATAGATACCTACATAAAAGTTGAAGGGAAAAGTGCGTTATCGTAACATAATTTGTGTTATCGGTGTATACTCACGAGCTGGGGCAGCGGCGATATAGGCGTGTTTCTTAGCTCTCACTCCTTCTTCGGCGGCAACGGAGTACACGGCCAAGGCGATGAATATCTGTAAAGAGTAGGTAACAATTATAATATGGACCTTATATAGTAGGTATTCAGGTATAGACGTGTAGTGATAATAATTGCATATAATTCTTTAGAATTTTATGTCCTGGGTGAAATACTGCAGTATAGCATTTCAACCTCAAATCACAATGCGATTTGTATTTTGCATAATTCTTATTTTATACTCTGAGTGGATGAGAAATGTATTGGTTTTACGATGATGTGTTTTTATGTTTGTTTTCTGTCTGTCAATGTAATTTTACACATCCGAGTAGTAAAAATACTACGATTTTCCGCTTTGGGGGTGGTTTTTGGTAGTTGAATGGATCTTGTTGGTACATTGAGAGGGGGGCTTGTAAAGTAAAAAAAATGTCTGTATTTATCAAAATAAACAGGAAAAACAAAAACAAAATAAGAAAAAACGGGACATTTTTCCTTTTTTAAATTTCACATCGTTATTTGCTGGTGTAACTTGAAAACGAAGTACCTAATTTATGTTTACTTGTTTTTTTGTAATTGAAAAATATTATTTAAGTACTTGAATTTTTTAAGTACATTATTATAATTCTATACACATAATGACGGATCTTAGGTAATAATTAATAGTACCGTCTTACTCATATGTAATAGCATAATAATTAATAAATGTGTTTAATAGAAATATAAAAAAATATCATACAATATATTTAGTAATATAGGCTATCATATCGGTTTTGCGCAGAACTGTACATCGTGTAGTATGCAATGATTTATACATGATTGTTATAAATTATTGTAACTTACTCCTCAATGACAAGGTACACTCGAAACTTACTTTACAGCTATGTCAGTGTAGTTACCTACCTTGCCCCTTTCTTAATATAATCACAGAATAGATTAAATTTAAACTAATAAAAACAAAATTTTACATTTTAACTATTGAATTGAAAATATGGTGTCTGTAAAGTAAGATCGTAAAATGCAATAACAATAAGACATTAGGGCCTAGGGGGCCTTTAGCATTTTTCTAAGACTGCATTAGAAGTTATAACTTCCAATCATAATAATATTATATAAGCTATTAAGTTATACTTCCACACCAGTATATCGTCACACACGTATAAATATTTATGTTTTTCCTTACACGGTCTGTAATACTAAAACGATACAGATAGTTGATTCAAGTATTGTATATTATATACGTTTCGAGAATTTTTTAACGGTTGTTTGGTGTTTATGAATTGTATTTTTTTTCATATGTTTAGCAAAACGGTAGCGAAATATATATTATTATATTTTAGTAACCCCTCCAAACATTTATTTTAAGTCGTAAATCGCGTAATGATTTAAACACACTGTTGGACAACATCGAATAACAGTCATCACTTAATTTTTGTTAAAATAAACCTAATATCAAACAAGATTTTTAATAATTTTATTTAAACTATTTTGAATTGAAGGCATCTGACGTTGCTTATACAGCTCTCGGATGCTCGATGAAAGCATTGATAATATTGTAACAAGAGAAATTATATTACATAGTTTATATTAATATATTGTACATATCTCATCCACTTAGTATATTCATTTAATGAAGTACGGTCATATCGTGTAAGTCAAAATAAGATTCATGAAATGGGCATATAGGTGTTATATTTCATCGATTTTAAGAAATGGTAACCCTTATTTTACACTTTGTGTAATATTTTCGAAACTAATTATATCATAATATGGATAAATTGGTGATAATTGCGTCCTAATAACAGTGCCTAAATTACTTTTTGTAATAAAAAAATAGTAGTACAAAAGATGTTAATTATAATAACGATTAATAAGTAATAAAATAATATCCAACAATTTAATTTAAACTCTAGTCATATTTTTTTATCATGCCCTGCGTAGTTCAACAATACCATATATAAAAGAACTTGTATAATAAGATAAGACGATGTTTTTATTAAATTTTCAGCGAAAGTTATCTATAAGACGCAATCAATTTAAAATATTATGCAAAGTGTAAAACAATAATTTTCAATTAAATAATAATACGATTACACTAAGTGGATGCCATGAAATGTTGTGTAATGTTTCACTGTTTCGAGGGTCAAGAACTTTTCAAAAAATAGGTATTACATCGGCGCTTAGCTGACGCGAGAATTCACATATGGTTATAAGTTATAACTTATAAGAATCGATCGAAAAACCATTAAGTCGTACATAGTATAGGTAGGTACAGCAAAAAAAATAAAAATAATAATTCAACTGCCGTACAATTGCAGACACCTGCTCCGTGATATTGTGTTGTTAAAGTCACTCACCAGATACTTGAAAGAAGCCATTTCGTGTTTGGTATGATTTCTTCTAGGTACAACGAATCTGCAAACTTCAACCTGTGGTCGTTGTGTATACTTGACGTATGTGGAGATGTAGTGTGATGCCGATGCCGGGTACCGTGGTCCTTATATATACTTACAGTCAGCCATATCAATATGGCTTACCTTACTGTCCTGGAGTGGGTGTTCCGGCGTCTAATACCTACGTATGGCTAGGGCGTTGCCCGTCCAAAAGGACGAAATCCGGATCGCGCATATATTATATTAATATATTTAAAAAAAAATACATATACCGGGTGGAGACTGGAGAGTACACAACACATGCACACAGTAGAGCGGTCAGTCGAGGTGACAGTGACCTTGGGCCTTGACCGTGTGGAATGAGCAATGCACCCGTTCGCGCACTTAAAAAATATGTAATAATTTATATAAATTATAAGCAATGAAATGAGATAATAACAATAATTATAAAACGCACAGACTCAAAATTAGGCGTTGCCGGACATGCCACATATTTAGCCCATGGACATTGCATAACAATTTTATGATTTTGAACAGTTAATGAAATATATTAACATTTTAATGCAATTTGATTGCTTGGTTTTTTTTTAATAGGTTTTTTTTTGTCATTTTTGATAATGATTACTGATTAATGATTATTTTGATAAATATTGTGATAAAATTATTTAAAATGTTTCATACATTGACAACAAATAGGCATTTTATAAAAATGTTAAAATGAACAATACAATAAAATAAAAATCAATACTAGGCACTTTATTAATAATATAATAATAGGTAAAGTCTTGTCATAAGTGGACAACCACTTTTTAACTAAAACATAATACCTAGGTATATCAATCATTTCATTATGATAATATAATAAATATTAATTATTACATTGATATAGGTTTGATTGACTTTTTACTGTTTTCTTTCTGAGATCCTCAAACATAAAGTTATAGCAATTGACTAATGATAATATTAATTTACATATCATGACAATCATATACTTAAATTACTAAAAGAATATCACTAAACGATTGAAATGCGTTTTATGTAATAGTCAAATGAATATAAATAGGCTGGTGTACAAATATATTTAGAATATAAAACTAGATAGGTATTCTAGTTAGAATTCTAGTCTAGAATAGCTATGGTAGTCACTCAGTCGCTGTAGTAATGTAGTGAGTATAATAGTGACTAATGTTTTTTAAAATTTATTTTGAGTTATAAAAACAAATTAAATTATAATAAAATAAATACATGTCTACACATTAAACTCGTTACACTGTGGTAGCCGGCTGTTGACACCTAGCCGCCAGCTATTAGTACATTTTTTTATCAGTAATTGAAAAGATAGAAGCTCAAAAATAAAAGTCATTACAAAGGTTTTTTTTAATCAAAGCAAAGCTCTTTGTAAATGTGATTTTCAAGAAAATCTTTTTTAATTGATTTTGAAAATCCAAAGGATTTGAAATCATGAAATCAAATTTTATGCGATTTGGAAAATTAAAGTATCTATTGTTTGTTACATAGAACTATTATATGCCTATTTAGGTATCATTTTCATGACTATTTCACCAACATAGTTATACTTTTTTAAATTAAAATCGTGCAACCTAGAATCGGATCTCAAACAGAAAACAATAAATTAAAAAAGATGCAGAGTTAAAAAAATTAATAGGATTTTTTGATAGGTATATTCTATTTAGAACAAATTGTACTTATTATTGAAATTAGTAAGGTAAAGGTTATTATATTCGTAAAATGCAAAAACGACAAAAAATGAAATGTTGGAATCCACTGTGAATGTTTTTTCAATTTGAATTTTTCACGCTCGACCTTCATCCCCCCTTATTGATATTATATTGATTGGCTTAAAATTGTTTTTATTTTGTTGAACTAATTACTTTTTATATTAGTAAAAGTTTTGAGTCAAAAGGAATGTCGTTAAAACTAAACATTTTTAACTAATAATTGTTGTACTGTTATACTTGCGCATGTGGATATAATAATGACAACAATTGATAAATAATATGTCTCCATCAGAAATAATGTATTAAAGTTAATTGACTTTAAGTAGGTACCTAGGTACATGAGTAAAAGTATTCGATTCTTTCTAAGTAGGTAGCAAGGTGCCAAGGTATAACTACTATTACATGACAAATACGCATTTTAAGTACTTTTTTGCTGAGTTTTCAAACACCTAGGTCCTAGGTATTTACCTACTATACTCAATATGGCATATCTATAACTCTGTAACTGTACTTGAAATACCTACTTGTAAAAAGTATCTTTTACAATATCTAATGAATTTATTATAGTATCATTAATCTAAGTCCAAGGACTATTATTATTATTTATACCTCTAGCTAAATTATTTAATTATGTACTTATATAGTTATATATATATATATAGATCATAATATTATATTTTATAATAGGAATACAATACTTACATAGGTATATACTTAAATATCAGAAATAAACACATGATACCTATATCAATATGATTTTTGTCTGTCTGAGTTCTGTAAATTCGGCTTTCATGACACTACATTTATAACAATTGATTGTGAACAATTTTGAAGTCACAATTCAACAAGCTAAGCACAGCTTTAAAACCATTAAGGAATTTTGTTGAGACTACAACACTACAACAGGTATGTAAGATAAAGCTTTTTCTGCATTATGTAATTTGGAAGACGTTGTGGCAGAAACAAGTAATATTTAGCAAACATTAATGACAGGTTTTTAAAAAAACAAATATTTTATTCAGTCATTTCAATTGTTTCAGTATTTTAAGTATATATTATTTTTTTTAAATTTCGATACCTCGAACTTTTTTCTGTGCCCCTTTAGATTCGACATAACGAGAATCTACTATAAGTAGATGCTCTAATAAAAGTATATACAAATACCTAATAATAAATAAAAGGAACCACAGGTTCAACGAAATCAGATTTTTACAAATTGGGAGAGTTTGTCTTTGTTCAAAGTGCCTATTCCAAATATGTGCATCGATGAATCTGGTAAATATCTTAAAAATTGTATTTATAAATATTGCGATGGTCAATATACTTTTACAGTCAATAGGCCATCGGGTGACTCTTTTTTAGTAGGTTCTTAACTGCTGGGGAGGGTACGGTTGGTTTGGAACACTTGTATGTGTAGCAAGAATTTGCCACTGACAACCCGCAGGGTGGTCACCCATCCAGGAGCTAGTGTCAGCGGCCGGTGATGGCAATTAGAGCATACGCATATCAATATTTGTGACGGAATTCGCAGACACCTAGCCACACAAATATATACTAAGAAAGATCATAATATAGGAACGTGGTACGTAGTACGTTTACGTAAGTACTTGTTCTATAAATGAACGAATATGTAACTAAAATAGTACGTATCTAATTTATATGTTTAATAATACTTACCATAAATAATGTAATTGTTTTAACGTTGACGTTCAATTAATTTCTTAGAACCTTCATGTATATATATATATACTTTTTATTTAGTTTCATTTTAGTGTTAACCGCGTTAGTTTAAAACTAAGGCGTTAGTTTAAAAACCGATGAAAATGTTTGTCTGTACAATATGACAAAAAAAAAACATGGGTAATATATTTACAATTGCTATAATATATATAGATAGATATTCTATATTTAGGTACTAATGTACTATTTAGTATAGGTATCTACTATTTATTTTAATCTTCCCTAAATTTTAGTTTTTGTTTATATCGATTCCAACTTGTGCCGTAGAAGGCTGTTTAAATAGATACCTAAGGGAAGCATTGATGTTGGTTTTCATCGTTTTCTAAAATCTCTAGAGCTGTCAGACGAGTGGTTTAAGTTGACTCATACAGGCCCAAAAATTCATACACGACATGGTACCTACATTTATTTTGTTTAAATATAATTTTATGATCCTATATATATATTTTTTTTGTATTCAATATATTTAATAGTAGCAAGGTATATATACCTAGCAAGAATTTTTACAGTCCACTATAAACCCAAGTTCTTCCATTTTTCGGTTTAGGCGATCGATAGCGATTGGTTGCAAATTAAAAAATAAAAGCACGAGCGCCCGGCTAGAAGCCGTTTCGTTGTAATTGTTTGAAAACTTTACTCTACAGTTACCGACAACTGCGATCGACGGAAAACCCAAACATTCAAGTCTTTCAACTAAAAATCAAAATCTGGGCTCCGGACCCCTCCCATTGACTTATGTCTCGTGCATGTTAATTTTTTTGTTTTAACAAGATTAAGAAAAATAAATTTTATTATACGATACAAAGGATTTTGTAAACAATTTCGTCATTTCAAATTTCAAAATGTTTAATTATTATCGTTATTTTTTTTGATATCATTTTATAATGCCAGTACCTACAGATACTGCAGCCAAATTGCCAAAATATGTTTTTCAACCTTAAAAGATTTTAAAGATTGAAAACTTATCTACGAATCAACTAAAACATCAACTACGAATGAAGTTCTTTAGGCCATGTTTATTATAAAAGTTATAACCAAACTATACGCTGTATACCTATTTTAAATTTGTTTTGTATTTAGAATAGGCTAAATGGACTGGCATTGATATATATTCATCGGGAAATACTCCTCAATGTGGATGCAATTAACAATAAAATGGTGCTCTTAGTCCTATGGGCGATTAGATATTGTTTTGTAATCTCACAATAAAATGTTAGGTCCTTAAAATCTCATGTGTTTTTTGTAACACTTAATTATAAATTTTAAATTGTTGTAATAATGAATAACTAACAAGGTACCTATGTCGGCAATTTATTAGTTTACTAGTGAGCTGCTGCATAATTAGTTAGTTAATCATGGTTTTATAATTATTCCAAAGCTTATAATACAAATATATATTATGTAAAATAATTAAAAACTCAAACATTTTACATGAACTTATAAATTTCATATGGTATTAATATTTATTTAATAAAGAGCAATTGGGGGGTGTGGTGGCCGGGCAAAGCCTCCATATCTCTGAGTTCTGAAAAATATCTGGACCCTCCTCATGACAAATTCCTAAATACGACACTACTTCACAAAAAAATGTTTCTGGTGTAGTGATGGCCACATTTGAAGGAAAATAAATGAAAAATATAAAATCATATAAGTATTAAGTAGGTACCTACTTACAGCATGAAATAATAATCATCATTCTTTTATTGAATACCTACTACACCGCGTGGCGAAAATAGTACAAATTACCACAATGATAAATCATAAATGTAGTATTTTATCTTTTGTCGTTTACTTTATATGACATGTGTCATTTATACCCTATAGTAAATCATAATAAATAAACTGTGATTGTGGCAAATTTGTACCTAATTTGGTTATCCGAGCATCAGTCAAAGTTTCAAAAACATTAAGATTATACTCATGCATAGATCCAAATCATACTTCAACATCACTACACTTTTTAAGGTTCTAAACGAAAGCAGGCATATTGTATTGTTGTGTTGTAGTTAAAATTTCTGATTCCCAAATAATTTTTATAAAAGTATCAATGAACGTATAAATATATATTTTATGCACAAACAATAATATTTAGGTATTCAACTGTTTTTTTTTTACTTAAGTACTTTGTGTTTACAAAGAAGTTTAATAAATGATAGTTTTACTTTAAAATAAAATCCCACACAGCATTAAAATATAATAAAACAATATAATATAATAAAATAACAATATAATTGTAATTTAAATATTTAAAATTAATACCAATCTAATTGATAAAAAATTGAAAATATATTTTTTTTATGTCGTAACCAAAATATTCGGCAATGATTAGGTACTAAATATTTGAATAAATACACATTTAATTTTGCCAATTATGCTTATTATTAGAAAACAATTGTAGGAAAGGTTATTTCAGTATTTTGGCTTATGGCTGGTCGAAATTTAGCATTTTCCCCAAGCTTAAAAAATCCTAGTTCCTCCCCTGATTAAGTCACAAGGTAGTCACTGCAATGAATGCCGGATGGTGTTAAATTTGAATTCAATGGCATATTATTGTATAAGTAAAACGATTCTGAGTGTAAACGGTTTGTGGCCCTAGGATGTTTTATATTGTCATTATATTACTACACCTGCAGTCGGCAGGTTGAATTAATATAATTTACATATTAGCATATTTGTATATAATAATATATTCTTTAAAAATTTCAAGTATCCAAAAATAATATTTTTAAATCACAACGATTTTACTAAAATCGTTATTCTTGGTTATTTAATATGCGATTTCGGCCAAATTTGAACTTCAAATAACTATACCTTATACATTTTTAAAGTTTTTTGGTTCCAGCATGAACCCGGAATCTTATTTTAAATCCTAAGCTATAAAAGTTGAACGTTTTATTAATGTTTAACTTTAACTAAATAATTAGGTTATTTTAAATTTTATACATTTTGTCGAAATCTGAACTTTATAGTGCTAATTAAAAAAAATCGTGCCTACGTATTTTTAATATTTTTCAACTGTTATTGTAACAATACATCAGAAGTATTGTATTAAATTTTTAAGCTTTTTGACCAAACAAATAACATTTTATTCGCATTTATAGAACAAATTGAAAATTGAAAATGTACACAAACAGCTCAAAACCATTTAAAACTCTTATCAACTATCAAGTATAGAAAATGAAGGACATTTTAAGTGTCTACGGTTATTCGCTTTAGAATTATAACAAAATTTCCACTTACAACAACTTATGAGGAATCTTGTATTGCATTTTAAAGTTTTTTGACCAAGCAAACATTTTTTATCGACGTTAATTTAAAAAAAAAACTGATAAAAATCAAAAATTTCATATGATTATAAATTACTCAACATGCGTAAAAATTTTCTTTAAATTGCATAACTTTAGAAAACGTTAATATAAACATTCAGTGAAAATGTCCTCTATCTAGGGTGATTTTTAGAGTTCCTACACCAAAAACGATTTTTTTATTATACTTAGTTAAACTTACATACTCACAACTAGAGGCCAGAATTATATTCTTTTAAAAAAGCCAAAATAAGATGCTAATATTCTCTTAAAAAGTTGAAAATATTCTTCCAATATTCTTTAAAAATCATAATAAAATACGCAAAAATATGCTTTTTTATTAATATATTCTCTTGAATTAAATGCATTTATATGCAAAATAATACAAAAAAACTGATATAAAAAGGTATATAATAAAATATAATATGCAAAAAAATACAAAAAGTGGATATAAATAGGCACATAATAAAAAATAATACGTCATGTTAAAAAAAATTTGATTAAATTATATTAATAAGGTATTCTATTGTAATTGACTTATTATTAACAGTAGCCGATTGCCAGTAGTAAGCACCAAATATTTTGCAGTTTGTTGTAATTTAAATACATAATTAAATACAAATTATTATTTTATACAACAAGATAGATCAAATGATTATACAGTAAAATTAAAATTTTTTTTTTATTCTGGCACATGTCAAGAATAGATAATTATTGAAAACTAGCCGATCCCGTGCATTTCGTTGCCCGTTAAAAATGCCATCTCTACGTAAGAAACTTGATTGTGATAATGCGAGCAGTATATTATCAGTTAGGCAATCTACCTGCGGTAAACGTTGTTTTTCCATATCAATTATTTCGAAAGAATATTTTAATAACTTAAAAATCCAAAATTATTGTGAGTGTGTGGGGATGTTTATATACTGGCATATGACTGAAAGAGAAATGGAGCACTGTGAACGACGGCGGCCTATAAAAATAACAAAATAAAGAAATATTCATTTTTTTCCTAGTCCTCGCTGCCTATAAAGTTAATCTGTAAAAATGTATGTGGTTCGTTTGGCATATCGGTTAGGTTGCCCTCAGGCTCAATCCCACTTTGTGTTAAACTTGGCCTTTGATTTTGACTGTTGAATTAAATTGTTGATAATTTGCTTAAATGTCTCTTAAGTGACACCTTAACCCATTTGGCCACCACTTCTGTTCGAGTAATGGAAGCCGGAAGCGTAATAAGATTGTTAGCCCATGTAGTAAACCCACATTAAAATTTTAATTATAACATTATTTTTTTATTTTTTTATTTTATATCAGCAATATTATACATTGATGGATTATTTTTAATTTGTTTTTTTACTATGACAACAAAATATTTAAACAATATTGTGGCGTTTACTCTTTCTAATAATGATTATATTAATTAAACATTCATGTTATAAGAAATGCAGGTATTAAATAAATGATTGCTAATTAGTAAAATAAAATAAATTGTATAGGTACACTCGGTTTTTCTGATAACGCCAACAACGGAAAATGGAAAATGAATATTTATAAAATAATAATAATCAAATAATCATATTTCTTATAGATAAAACCTAAATTTTATCTCTACTATATCGACTATTGCGTTCTATCTTCTATGACCTATGTAAAGAGAGGGTATTTACGGCTACAACTAAAATCGAACGGAATAAAAACGGTACGAAAATTATCATTTTACAAAATTTAAACTTTACTTTACGTAGTGAAACATAATATTAATACCTAATATTCAATACACGACATATTTCTCCATGTTGATCAATTTTTTTGGTGTTGGGTGGGGACCCCATTTTAACGATTAATTATGGCATATGGGCAATTTTATAAGCTAAAGCTTGCTGTAGCTTTTTCAATTCAAAAAAAAATTCCTGAATTCAAAAAATAAATCATCAAAACATTTAAAAAAAAGATTTTTTCGTCATTTTTTTTTTCGTAAAAACCTTCTCCTGACAATTACGAACAATTAAAAAAAATTGAGTCAAATCGGCCCAGCCGTTCTCAATTGATGAATTGTTATACATTTTTGGCTCCATTTTTATACAGATAGATAACATTGTTTACAAATCACTTAAATAGTAAGCACAATAATATCACTAGTACTTAGTAGCTATACACCTAAAGAAAAATCACTGGTAAAATTAATAATCCACAATTGTCAACGTTCTAATTAATTCTTAATTGTCAGTATCTATTCAATGATATAGGTACATGATATTTTGTCAAATAAACCCACCTTTATGTTTATTATTTTAAAACTATAATAATATGGTCATTAACAATTTATTAAATACCATTTGATTATAAGTTAAAACTTAAAAGCTTATTTGTCAAAAGTCTTGATTATAATATTTTACTTAGTCACAGATATATATTTATACTTGTTATTCATTTAATTAATAGATTACTAATGTCTGATAAAAATATTTATAATTTTTATTTTTCAGATGGTAAAAATACAGTTTTATTGTATTTATTACACGCTATAATATAGTACCTACTGCAAAAAAAATTACTAAAGATCATAATGGGAAGAAGTGTCAAATAAAATACCTACTCAATAAAAGATTCTCAAAACAGCTCAGTAGCTGAAATTGATGAACACATTGTTATGCCGCAGAATGAAAAAAATCCAATTCAGCCATTTATTATTATTGTAGGTACCCCTACTAATCCTAAACTCTAAAGAAATAATTGTTTTTTTCGATTGTAATTTGTATTAAGTATAAATTATTTACTATACTATCTGCTGTAGATGTTTGCTTTAAATTATTTCATTTGTTTAACTTGGAATATCCATGTGAATCATGTGTAGTATGGCTCTTTATACAAAAGTATTTTTATTCATAACTACAAACTTTGATAAATCATTTCATACTTTAGGTCAAATTTTATCTGATTTAAGCAGTAAGTAACCAAATGTGTTTAACAATAAAATAACATTTATAATATAAAATTTGCGGTTAAATTTTATTAATTTAAAAAAGACTACCTACTTCAACCTATATTAATCTACAATTATTTATATGTATTGTATTATTCGGTAAATGATTTTTCATGGTTAATTTTATTTGAATCCTTACATATCCTTACATAATCCTAGAATAATTCAAATAAAGTTTATCCTGAGTTAGTATTAGTTTTTAAACAGATTATTTAACTAATTTGAGAATACCAACATATTTTAAAATTCCATCACAAGAAGTCTAACTAACTTGATATTTAAATACATAAATTAAATTATTATATTATAAAGTAACAATATTTTTGCTACACCATACCTAGTAAGTACAATATCATAATGATAAAGACTTTATTAACCTGATAAAATATTTATTATGCAGATTGAACTTTATATTTGTAAAATGATAAAGTAATGTTGTAATTACAATAATATAATTTATCGTAATGATAAAAATCGCAGTTTAAATTCAACATTAAAAAGTTGTTGGAGTAACAATATTTTTGTTAATATAACTAATTTATGAACTTCAATAGTTTCAACAATATAGTTGTTCATTTGATAAATAATTCTTGTTGGCCCTATGTTAACAAGAATTTTGTCAATTCAACTCTTATTTTTATCATTATGATTGTGGTTTTTCTTTCGGTGTACGCATGAATATTAGAGTCAACATTTTACTATAATTTTCATAATTATACATTAACATAAAACAAATTTAATTAAAATAGGTTGATAAACAGACAATAATTAGAAACAGTAACAGCCGTACTTGATAATGGATACAACATGTGTTTTAAATAATACATGATGTATATTTATTATTTACATTTAATTTCATACTTTTCAAAATATAATATAATAAATCATAAACATTTAATATTATGTTAATTATTTATTTATTAATATTCATAAAGTAATTGTATACCTAACTGATAGTGGTCTGCAGCTAGGTACCATTCATAAAAATAAAATATTAAAGATAAAGATTATAATTCCATTCAATATAAAAAATTGTTATAACATGTATCTATGACAAATAAAATAATATAATAAATGTTATTATAAAACAGGGATGGCCAACCCAAATGATCTTGCGGGCCACTTTGTAAATACATTACAATCCTGCAAGTCACACACAAAATTATAAAAGTGTTTTGCCCCAACACAAAAAAAATGGAGTAAACATTATAAACAAAATTATTATTACAAAATAAGCTTTGGTGTATAAATTATTTAAAATAAACAGCATGAATTATAATCGTTTTTACTATGACTCGTATGTTATAATATATATTACATACAATAATTTTAATTTATTGATTTTACTATTTAGTGAGATATCTATTCCATCGGCGCAAAAATAATTTTTTTTTTTGTAAATATTTGATAATGTCGAGGGGCGGCAAAACTTTCCAAGGCGGGCCGCGGGTCGGCAATCCCTGGTATAAAATATTGTGTTAGAAAAATATGTACATACATATTTGAGAATATTTCTCATGTTAATTTATTATATTCCCGAACAATATAAAAGTAATAAAACTCTTACATTTATAACACTCGTTACTTTCTAATATGCAAACAATTTATAGAAAAATAACAAGATTACATAATTTTTATGAAATTTAATTACACATGTGTCAGATCAGTTTTCATCAAGTCAGTAGAGGCAGTAAAATGCGAGACCATTAAATGAACTGGAGGAAGGCGCGAGAACACAGTTCGGAAGATCCACAAAATGTGGCAGCGATGATGACGTTGCAGTGCGAGCACTAATAGATGGTAAGCAACAACGCTTAAGCCGCTTGCAACTTCTTAAAACCGCTGTGGTCGGAGATTGGTGTGTCTGAATCACGATTTTGCTGGAAGAAGCAGATACTCATCTTCGGCACGTCGTTGATCATGTCGATGCCGAAGAACACGATATTGATCGAATAAGCGGAAATCCCGAACATCAGGGATACGCCGGGCTCGGGCTGCACGAGTTTGTGATCAGTGTAACGATGCGGCTGCGGGTTGATCTTTTCCGAGAACCGCAAGCACATTTCCAAGTCCAAGACGCCGCAAGGCGCCACCAACGTGTACCCTTTGGCCGACCAACCGGAGCGGCAGGCCTCGTTGACAACCATTTCGTCGTCATATGTGTTTTCCGGACGCGATGCGTACTCCTCGTAATCGGCCATCACAGCGGCCGCGTCCATACCGACTTCGAAGATGGCCCACAGCGCGTACTGGTCCATGGCGCACCTATCCAACCCGTAACACTTGCAAAACTCCTCGTCCACCTTCCACGTGCGCGTCTCACCGTGCCTGGCCGATTCGGCCACACAATCATCGCGATTCGCCTGCAGCTTCATCGCCTCCTGCAAGACTCGATCCACAGAATACTTAACCAGGGCTCGGCGGATCGGGTTTTTCCCGCTCAGATTCTCCAGCAGCTTCACCATGCGCTTGCCGCGCAACACGTTCTTCACGCTTTCGTCCACCGCTATGCCGTCCACCACGTGCCACAACAGGTCGCCGACGTTCAACTGGGCGATTTGCTTTTGATAACCCTCGAACACATGACGAATCGTTTTCCACGAGTTCAACAGATTGTTCACAGTGAGGTTTTCGGCGAGAAACATCGTGACTCGTTCCACGAACACTGCGAAATGACTTTTGAAAAAATAAACGGAGTTCCAGACCGTTTGACCCAAACAGTAAGGAATTTGCTCCAGGGTTTTGTAAATAGGTACCCAAACACTTGACTCAGCCAGCAGCTAAAAACAAAAAAGATTTGATCAGAGTATTAGACCTATTATAATATGTATTGACCAATAGACCATTCAAATCTAAGTCAGTATTCAAAAATTGGCAAGTCAACGAAAAAACAATAATTTGAGTCACATGTTGAACACAAATTTAATCAATAAGACAATACCCACATAAAAAAAGTGCAAAGTACAGTTCAATTACTTTTAGATACCTAAAACATACTTTTTAAAACTATAGTAAAATTAAATGATCGAAATTGAAAATTCTTTCTTCTAACAAAAATGTTCACAGACAGACAATAAATCACATCACTGTAAAGTCAATACATTTATTGCTCCACTCAGAATCAAAAATGTAAACAACCAAATCCAAAATCCGAATAGGACATACAGGAAAACACACAAGCTGCTACGGCTATGAACATCCTTAGTGTGTAACATGTTATATTAAGCTAACAATTAACAGAATGTCACCAGTATACCGACAACCCTCAGAAAGCATCCCATTCAACATAGACACATTAAGTCTGAACATAGAAAATACCACAAGGCGCAGACTTAGAATTTAAATAATCAAATTCAATAAAGTAAAGAAAAATTTTACATGATTATGTATACATTTTAAATCTGTAAAATTGTTGCTATTATTGTAAAACGTTATAACTGATATCCTTTGTTGTTTGATGTTTTTTAGATCAATAAAAAAATAGTTAATAGTCACCTTAAATGAATAAATACACTATTAGCTTATTAGTTATTACTAGAGTCCGGAATTATGAGTATATAAAACTTCCAATATTGAATATGCATACATTAAGTGCATTAATATGAAATTATATGCATTATATTATACTTAAAAAATAATAGTTTCTTTTTAAAAAAACCAAAATTTTTACACAAAGAACAGTACTTAACTAATATTTTTATCAGAATTACTAAAATTATTAAAATTGAAAAAAACTTTTAACAGATAAAAATTTAAAAAATACCATATTGTAGTCTTTAAGATAATTAAAATTAAATCTTCTGTTAATATTTCAGATAATTCAAAAGAACATGCCTTAAACTCGCAGGAAACTTACAAAAAAAACCTAGAAGTTATGTAAGAATATCTTTTAGTTTTAAGACTTCATTGTAACATTTAAAATATACAAAAGTTTTAACGTTTTTCAAAACATTTACAATATATTTGTTATAGTATGGTACTTTTTTCAATCACATAACAGTATTTTAACAAAATAACCTCTGAACAGGGCTGATTTTAAGTACATTGTGATATTACGAAATGTCCAATATACATACACCATAGTGTACATATAAACATAAGAATGCATATAATTTTGTGCTCTCTTTCAAAATGTATATTATTCTAATAGAACCCATGTCGATACTTACCTTTAAAATATCTTTAATGTAACTTGAAGACATTAATGTTCCCGTAACAATGAACAATTCCAAACATAGCTTCAACACATTTTCAGGTGTTATTTTAAAATCGTTATCTATAAATTCCAGAGCAGCACGGAAGACTTCCAATGTACATTGAGCAATACAACCACTTTTTCGAATAATTGTGAGAGCCCTTGAAAACGATTGAATAGTTGTATTAATTTCCGAAGTTACTGCAGCTAATGCATGACATGGGGCAACTAGAACACCAAGGGTAGAAATCGCTAAATTTGTCCAAAGTATCCAGGGTGTTGAGCCAGATAAATCATATTTATGTTTGTACATGTCTGCTAATTTATCAATATTTCTATAAATTTGAAATAAAGAACCTCCAAAAAATAAAACGGAAGCTGCCAATGTTATAGGAGCCGCTAAAGTAAATATACAACCACAGGCAGTTGTTATAAATCCAGCTGATATAGATCCAAATGAAGCATAGTCAACACATTTTAAAATATGTTCCTTTGTTTTGGAAGCCGGTGTTATATTTTGATGTAATGTTTTTGATCCATCATAAAGCCCTGATATTGGGTAGAACATAAATCCTTCAGGGAGATCATTATTTTCTAAATACTGATCCCAGCCACTGTAATTTCTACTGTTTTTAATATCAATATAAATACATTTGTCAATAAATTTTAATCTGATTAATATATATTTGTGTATGTCTTTAGCAGGAAAATTATGGCAGGTATCACATTTATTTTTGCAAATACTATGTATTATGGTAACACCCACATCAATATTACTATAATGACCAGGTTCAATGTGTTCTTTCTCTAATACTTCATAGAGTTTTCCAATATTTTTTTTAAATTCATCTTTATATAACTGAAATATTTTTTCACTATTGTTGTGATCTTCATAATTGTTGTTTTCAATTTCATTACTAGGAGACGGATATTTATAATATGTGTATGCTAAAAATAATTTCAAATCATTCTTTTGTACGGTTGTCCATTCTGGACGGCCATTGAAATAAGAATATTGTATTTCTTCTAAACGATTAATTAATAAATGTCCTTTCTAAAAATAAAATAAAATAAATTAGTCAATAACAATAAAAGTAGCCAAATAAAAATGTGTGGATATTTAGATTATATTTTTCTAAATAAAATAAATTTAAAAATGTTGCAATCGAAAAAATTGTTTAATGATTAATATATTTTAACATTTTGTAAAGTATAAACAATATGAAATTGATTTAGTCTTTTTTAGCTCTAATGAAAGCAAATGTCAGTCAGCTATTTGGCAAATAAAATATTAAATACAAATAGTATAGTACAATGACAGTTAGGCTTGACTTTATGTGTTTTCAAATAGAAAACTTAAAAACTTATTTTCTCAAACAATTAATTAATTAAACATAATAAAAATATGAATAAATAAATGAATATTGACAAAAAGTATACTCACTTTAAGGTTTTCCTCCTGATTTTCATTCATATTGAAGATCAATCAAATATTTTGAATAATTTTGAACAAAATTTAATTTCCTAAACAATTTTTAAAAATAATATGAATGTTATAAATCTGAATATTAAATAATAATTATACTAATATTACAATACTTTAATTCCTTTCAAGTAATATTAAAAATGTAGGAGAAATTAATTAGTATAGGACATTGTTCATGGTTTACAGTTAAGTCACATCTAAAATAACAAAATAAATAGTTTTGAATGGGATGAATTTTGTATTTACAAAATTGAATTAATGACTGAACTGTTAATGTAATTAATTAATCTGGTGTGATTTTAAATGTAATATTTCATGCTAATAACTATTTATTTATATTTGGTATAAAAAAAGTTGTGATTTAAAACATATAGGTAAATAAGTTATGATTGGGGCAAACATAACTTGCCAAAAATTAAGATACAAGTTTCAAGTTAACTGAAATAAATAATAACAAAAATGGGAACAAATTAATGACCTAGCATATGTTATGAGGAATACAATCTGTTTTTAAAAACTTCTATTTGATTACATTTAAGACATAATATTAAGCTACTGGAATTATAATGGGCTTTAAACACTGACTTTGTCATTGATATAATGGTATAATGTAAAGATTCATTTGTATTTATTTTTCACTTGGCTTCCAGTCTTCCAGAATAAATTACTTATGAGAAACCTTGTATTACATTATCAGGCCGTAGCTATGAAAATTGAACTGTAAAGTGTGTGCCTTTATATATATATATAATATTTTTAATTAGCTTTAATAACAACTTATAAGGAATTACTACACCATTTGACAAAAAAAAATTTTATAATCAAAATTTATTGAAAAATAATTTTATAATCAAAATTTATTGAAAAATAATTTTTAATTATTGGTTCACCTAGGCGTCTAGGAAAATTGGAGTTTTCAAGTTATACTTAAAATTTGAATTTTGAAATATTAGTATTAATTTGGTTATTCTTAAAAACACAAACTATTCCGAATTAATAATTAAGATTTTTTATTCTGTTGTATGTGTACTGTAATACTATTAGTAAAATAAACTTCTTTAATGACAAAATGTCAATATCAAAAAACATACCATAAGATATACTTAGGTAGTCACATAAGCTGACAGACTGTCTTCACTCAGAATTATTTTTGTATTTAGTGATTTATTATTGAATTCAAAATTAACACTTACATTACGATTACACTGGCCAACTCAATGAAAAGGTATATTTGCCACTTGTCGCATCAGAGCGGTTACCTACTTTCCCTGTTCCCTCTTTGGCTTTTGTTGTTTCACCAAATTATTTAGAAAAGTTATAAAACATTATTTTTTCAACCTTCCACAGTACTGACTAGGTTCACTTTCCTACTAGAAAAGACATTGAAGTTGAAGATCTAAGCATTAATTGTACTGCTGCAAAATGTGATGATACACACAAAAAAAAAATTATTAGGTATAAAATCATTAACCCTCCTTACTCCACTATCTAAAATGTGTGATTTGAGTTGAGTTAAAAATATAAGTAGGTAGTGCAGTCATTGATATTATTGAAGACGTGTATTATGTACATCAAACAATATTGTACCTAGACTACGTCTGACTACCTACATGGCTATATTGGACAGTGATTATTCCATCAAATTCGGAGCACATTAACAAATCAATTTGTAGTATTATTACTTACCAATATAAAATTATCAAATAATTATATTATTCTTGGGAAACGCCACAACTCCGTAACATTAACTTCAAAATACTACAACCTGAAAGTACTTTCTACGTAGTGGCTATTTTCACGTCCGACGTGAAACTATGTATTTTCACGTCCTGTCACCTGATTGGACGTAATATTAATACTGATAGTATATCTGATATCAATTACCGTAATTGATAAGTGTCACTAAACCCTGATAACTGATAAAGATATAATATGATAATATAACAACATTTTCTGCACAGAATATTATTTATAAGTTTATAACCTGATATAATATTATATAACTAATTAATATTTTGATTTATTATACATAATCATGGGACTTAATATAAAATATTAAGGGTGACGTCAGTTCCCTCATAACTAGTTGCCAATATTTTTAAGGCGTCTGATGCCGGTGATTTGGATATAACCAAATTATGTATATCCTTCAACGTTACTATTTTATTGTGGGTTTTCATCAGATCATTTTGTAATATTTTTTTATTAACCTTCATCGTTACCAATTTCGTTGCCATAATTCTAGAATCAGTATCCAGCCTCCTTTGTCTAGGATAGTGATCATACATTGCCTAAAATAAATAGTTTTTTTTTATACTGTATTTATATACAATTTCTATTATTATTTTGTTAACTATTTACCTTGCTGCATATGTGATTATGTTCACTAATAAAACTTTTTATGACTAATTTTTCTCCACAATCATTGGGTCGAACAGTCAAAACCACAGGGCAATTTGAACGAAAAGAACTGGAATAAAAATAAATACCAACCAATATGTTTTTAAGATGCTCCATAATTCATAAATTATAAATATTTTAAGTTTAATAAGTATTTTAAATATACCTTTGTTGCGGCCGGAGACCTGTTGATTGGCTTTTGTACTCACCACTTCGTACACATCTATAATCAAGAGCGACATATTCCAAAATTGGATTAATGTGCCTTTTTAAGCCCTTTTTTCTAGCACCTTCAATGGTCCTAGAACTGAACTTCGTAAAGTTGGACATGGTCTTATTTTCATACTTTGAAATTGCATCTTCTAACTCAACAAGAGAGGAAAATTCTTTACCAATTTCAAGTTCCAAAGACTATATTATATAATTAATTATTAATATAGATTATTAAATATAATTAAATTCATAAACACTTACTTGATTTTCAGCATTAACATTGTTGTCCATTTTGTTAAAATTAAAAAAAAATATGTAAAATATGTAAATATAATAATATAATATAATAAGCTAATTGCTTTAAAATGGTTGTATAAATATCACTGGCAATTCCAATTTATAAAAACTATATGATCCATATTGATCATATTCATTATATTGATCATATTCATCTCTAATTCAACTGATACAAAAAACGAAGATTTTTGTACAAATTGTTACACAAATCTATAATATAATGAATATATTATAGAATGAATATAATAATATTATAATTATTGTAAAATATTTAAATTTATGCGGGAAATATTCTTATATTATCATATTATATCTTTATCAGTTATCAGGGTTTAGTGACACTTATCAATTACGGTAATTGATATCAGATATACTATCAGTATTAATATTACGTCCAATCAGGTGACAGGACGTGAAAATACATAGTTTCACGTCGGACGTGAAAATAGCCACTACGTACTTTCTACTTTCTAGCATCTAGCATTTCTTCTAGTTGCCTTAAGAGTTAAGGTAGGTTGTACTCTTAGATCATATAATAGTATATGATCTAAGGTGAGCACTGACTTGTTTAATGTTTATTATCAATTATCATCATATCTTTTATCATTGTGAAATAAAATTAATGATAAGAACCCTTGCCAGAGTGAGCATAAATAATAAAGAGATATATTTATTACTTAGACACTGAGATAGATAAGAATATATTACAATATTCTATATTATACTAACTTTACAAGACGTGTATGATCTAAGATATATTATCATAATATCATCTATGTGGGTGAGAGCACTACACCACAGAATAATTAAAGAATAATAAATTCTGTGACTACACAGCTGATGCTTATATTATAGGTAATATAAATAAGGGCCGATTTCACCAACACACTAGTACACTACACAGTTAATCACGATCAAATACTGTACATTTACAGTATTTGTCACGATTAAAGTTAACCGCGGAGTTAATCGGCCGAATTTGGCCGGTAAATATCTGTTATCAGCCGATTAAGCGTTAACCGTGATTAACTGTGTTGGTGAAATCGGCCCTAAATAAATAATATTAAAGTATAGGTACAGATAGTCTGTGGTATAGGTATCTGTGGAGCACTATTTAAAAGCAGTCTGCATAGATACTTTTCCTTTATATGGCAGTCTGTCCCTCATCCACATTCCGGCTCCCGGTTCGTAAATGCTTATGTCGTTAGTATAGGAATGGCCTATCTCTCAAATTAAAATATTTTAATTCGTGGCCCGTCCATTCTTATATTATCAATGAACCCAAGACCGTGTGTAAATCGTAGATCACGATGCGTTGATATAAATATTGTCATGGAACGATATTATATCGCTTACACTTTTATTCTGTGCTTTCACTCCTCAACCTGGTGTGTCAGTCCACCAGCTGCTTCTTACTAGTTAGTAGTTCTTGTCTGTGTTGGAAGTTTGTAACATGAAGAATGGAAATATGGAAATGTATTTTGTTTGTCGTGGTTGTACTTACCTAAAGTACTTGGACATATTAAGTACAATTGTCAATTTGTATGTACATCATTTTGGTCATTGTTAGTGTTTTCATTTTATTAAAGTAGGTACACTTCAAGGTTCAGTAAACTATGGTAATAATGTATCTAATATTTATTTGTTTTAGATCTTAATGACAATATTATACAGTCAAATATAGCATCGGTATTAGAGAGTGTTAGTGTAGTGCCAAAAGCAAATTATGTAGTAATTGTTGAAATCCCTGAATGGTATGCATAATCTATAAGTTACTCTTATGATAAAATAAATTATACTTTATAAGTATAATATCTGATACTTCTTTTTAAATAGGATTGTACTAATAAATACATACTTATTGTAGTAACTATACTTTATATTTTATAATGTGGATAATTTTTAAAATGTATGGTTCTGGCTAATATAAACAAATACTTAATTTTACAATTTAAATAATTTAAATAAATATTAGCTACCTGTTTCAGAACTTCCTCTAGGCCAGCGTTTCTTAAACTTTTTTTTATGTGGAACCATTTTTATGTGCACTTTCACCGTAGAACCTCAACTTTTTTTTAGCTTTTTTGTTTTGAGCTTATAACAATAAGTTACTACAGCCCGACAATTAGAACCACTACTTTGTTTTAATACTTTTAATGCGTCGTTTTATGTAACGATTATTTGCAATAAAAGTTATAATAATGTGTCATAATTTTGAAAAAAAACCACAAGTTTTGCGGAACCCTAAAGTGACCTCCATGGAACCTTGGTTCACATAGTTTAAGAAACACTGCTGTAGACCATATTCCCAAATGATGAAATCATCCACACGTTTTTAAATATCCTTAATTACCCTTACTTAAACCAATACGATCCCCAACTTCACTGTAAGAATTAACAACTTGATAACCATCAAATAATAGCATATTACAGACTATAAATTAAAAATACATAATAAACAGAAGGATTTATTTGTTAATAAAGTACCTATCAAAACGTCTCAGTATTACTCATACATCATATAGTCATTAATGTTGCTTTCTTAAAGTCAGGTCTTCCTTTTTTATCAATTTAAATATAAAATGGTTGTATTTAAGACATCAACATCTATGACAGTAAAAAAGATTGAAGAAAATAAGTAACAAACTTTAATATAAAAAATTAAATGTTTACCTCGACTGAATTTCTGTTTAGACTAAAATGACTTTTAAAGTCAAATTCGTTGTACAAACTTGTAACTATCATAAATTAATTAATATTACAGAGTTTAGTATTTTTTAGTTGATTTAATATAACATTTTTTTCTTGTTCAAACAAGTAATGGTTTAAAAATGTGTTGAGATAGGTTTTGAAGATTTATTTTAAAGAAATCACAATTTTCAATTAATATTTAAAACAGTCTTTATACAGTAGTTAAAAATTACATTTTGATCATTAAATTATTTCATATAATCTATTGTAAATAATAATAAATAATATATGTTTAAATTCATGGTTGTATGATAAAAAAAATATTTATACCCGTAACTGGGTTGGTTTATTGTATCAAACAAACTTTTTTCATATTATATTAAATTTACTGTTCTTAAACTCCAATCCATCTGCTAGATTTGATGATGAATTTAAGAACACACGTGATTTGTCATGGTATGAGATTTATTACAATATATTTTATTATGACGTATTTTGTTGTTTATGTACCTTTTACATTTTTAAAAGTTGAAATGCATTGTGGGTATAAACTTTTTATTTTTCTGTTCTCTTAATTTGTGCATTGCTAATTTTGTCAATTTGTAAATTTTTCAGACGGCATTCTGTAGTTTAAATGTTGTTCAAATAATCATGGATTATTATTATTCACGGACTGTTATTTTTATTATTATTCGGCCAGACGGCTGATAATGTATTTGATAATTATAAAAAATGATATCAAATATTTTATATTATTTCAAAATACTTTTTCAGAATTATATTATTAAATATATTATGAAAATTGACTAATTTCTAATTGAGATATTATTTTTTGTGTTTTTATCCACAGTTTACAAAGTATTATTCTAATTTAATTAAAGATACCAGCACAGTGACAATATGAAACTGAGGCCTGAACAAGCAAAACACTCTTCCAAAAAAGAAAAACAATTGTTATAAAAATATAATTGAAGACATTAATGTATGTATTTCACAAATATTCTTACTTCTTTTTATCATAATATGACATTATACTTCATAGTTGTTTTTTAATTATTCATTTTAGACTGATTCTATTAAAAGGATGTATCCACATGGGTTGTCTCTGTCTTTAACACATACAATATAGAAAATTTCTGTTCCCCAGTTTCAATTGTGTGCTGTTAATTTTGATATTAGAGTAAATTGACCGTTTATCAAACTTTTAGGTAAGAACATTATCTGTATCATCTCTTTGGTTTTTTATAATATTTTAATTTTTAATTGAATTATGAATAAAATATGTTCACATATTTTATTGAAACTGGCGAGTGAAAATTTGTTATGTCGTACGTGTGTAAGACTGCGACAACATATGCGGGCACAACATAAAAAAATACCAATTTTTGGGGGAAGTAATCACATCCAAATCCAACGATTGTGCAGAGACTAGGTTTAGAACTATACATTGTTGAAAATAGCTTATGATATTGCTATGGGGTATCTAAATAAAAAATACTCGACTATGACTAAGTAAGTAAATTTAATTTGCAATTTATATTTATCACTTATCTAAAACTATTATTGATTTATATTAGGTAACTATATATAAAAGTACACACTAACAACAATCTACTGTTGTAGACTTAGTTCAATCACAATTGTAAGTTTGTTTGAGTAAAATAAAGAATGATAAATACATGCAGATTTATAGAGGATGAGGGATGTCAGGTATTCAACTATTCAATAACAATAATATTATCAACTACTGTTGATGGTATTTTAATTATTTATAATACTTAATATAATTATTATTTTAATATATTTTGACTTATAATTAAACTATATTTTTCAGATAATATAAATGACAGAACAATTGAGTTGCAAATCAGTAATAATATTTCTACTCTTGATGCACAATAAAATCTAAAATATTTTGTGATTAATTGACGTAATATAGGTTTAACTGTTGGAGATCTGGGAATTTTAATTGAAAATATTTTTAGTGGAATTATAATAATAATTAAATTTATTTTATATTTTATATTACTACTATAGCTGGTGTGCAGTTGATGTGTTTCATAAAATAATGTTTTTATGTATATACATTGAATATCATGCATATTAGTGCATGTTTCAGATGTGTTAAAAATAATTGTGTTGTCGAGATAACACAGATGATAATAGGTAGTCTTGGAAATATTTTGGTGGTTAAGATAACACGAAATACTCTTCATTTAGTTAAGAGTAATTTTAATATTAAAATTGTTTAATGTATTTTACTGAATGCTGGCCAAAGTTAGATATTTCTAAAAATATAACTGATGTATCAAAAATATTAATTTAAATAACTTAACTGAGATCAGATTGTGATGTCAACATTAATATAAGATTACATTTACAATTTTTCCATCATTAATTTAACCAGTTAACTATGAACTAGTGCCTTTATAGACTATATGAATTGTACAATAATTATAATATAATAATTCAAAATTAACTATAATATTTAATTAATTAATAATAATATGAATGTACCTAGATATTTTAAATAACAATTATTTTTAAAAACATTTAAACTTTTAAGATATGAAAAATGAATGGATATATTATATACAATATACTTCTAAAAGTTCCAAATGAATTTGAGTAAATTATTATTAAACATTTATTTTCAAAACATTTATATAATATAACATTTATACAATTTAATTACATATTTTATTTTTAATTTAATAATTAAATCTGAACTGAAATAGTATGAAATCAAAAATTCAAATCTTCTATTTGTTTATTAGAGTTGTCAGTGGCAGTAAAATAATTTTGTCATAAGGGGCCGATTGTTTAATGTATAAATTAATGTTTATAATTATTGTTATCTGTAGTAAAAAAACGACCTTTTAAATTGGTTATGTCTTAGAACTAAATATTGTATCTACTTTAGATATTAAATATACATCTAATAATTCCAAAATCTTTATTGTAAAATTGTACTATGTGCAAGTTCTCGTGTATAAAGTGAATGATTTGGAACTAGATATTTTGTAGAATTACATAAATCTACATTTCACCACAATGTTTTAAAGAATATAATATTGAATTTTTCGGTTGAAATTGATGTTACTTTTGATCTGTTTTTTTTACTTAAAATTAAATATGTACACATTTGATACCTACTGGTGGGTATAGTTTATTTAAAATAAAAAGTTTAATACAGGATTATTTGTTTTATGGCAACTATAATTGCATATTCTTGTTCTAATTTTAATGTAATTTCATTTTTTTTTCTAGTGTCTGAAACTTAGGTCAGGTTAGGTTAGATAAATGTAAAATGTGTTAGTTGTGTCTTTTACACTGATTATTTTAATATCATTTTTATTGTACGTTTTTTGGCAAATTTAATCTTTGAAAGCCATTTTTACGTTTTTCATGGATTTTCCCAGGTTTTAAAGCATTTTTCACAATCTTTTTACACATTGGACATAAGATATATAACTGTGTACCTACTATTTGTATAAACGAAATAATATACATATATAATATATATACCTGAGATAGATATTTTTTTAATACATAATAATAAAACATTTTTTTTTTTTAATTCTAAATATCTATAGCAAAAATGACCAAAGAAATGCATTTTAACTACAATAATGTTTATAGAAAATGACCAAAAAATATTTTAAACAATTCTTTATTCTTGAGCAAACAAATATACGAACTTATCAATTACGACTTAACACTAATTGACCAATTAGTTAGGTACCTATTGGTTTGAGCTCTGGGCACATATAATAACCGTTAAACTGTATATTATATGGATAAAGACGTATCGAAATCATAAACTTGTACGATCGGCAAATGATGGATAAATTAATAAATACAAATTGTTTAAACTACCAATTAAGTTTAATCGAAAATCTAGGCATATCATGTACAAAATATGTGTTCTAAAAGTTAACAAAATGACCTAAAATTGTTTAATAATTATTGCTCAAAAAACGTAAAAACTGATAAAACTGCAAAATAAATGTTTAAGTTTTCAATTCTTTGATGTATGAAACGAATTTTTTAATTGTAAAGCATTGCTGGGGACTTACCAAAAAATAATGCATTTTGCATTAAAATATGAGCCCTACAGTTATAACTTATAAGTTATAATCAGGGCTCTGAACTTTTTGCATTCACATATTTCTTAGGAAGCGGAGTATTAAAAATCTGTTTTGATATACATTCGTTCATAATACCTAGGTAGTAGGTAAGTACAAACATGTGTGTTGCATATTTTTACATGTTTGACTAACTTTACATGATTTTGCATGTATAAAGATTTAAAGCATATCAATGCGTATTATGTTAGTAACTCATCGATTTAAAAAATAAAGAGCCGCCACACATCGTCAATATTTTGAATTATGCTATAACAAAAATCGACTGCAATTTATCGACTCTGTAAAAATGATTTATTTATTAAGAACTGTGTAGATACTTTGGATACTTGTTAGTTGTTTGGTACTATTCGAAAAATAAGTTAATAATGGGGTGTATTGTATAACTTGTAAATACAGATTGTAAATATTATGTTTTGTTCAATAAAAAAAAAAAGTTAATATTCCTAAAAAGAAAACATCTTGTATATACATTCGTGCTTGAGTAGGGTGGACATGTTTTTAGAATTAGTTCTAAAGAATTGTTTTTACGATTTGATATTTGCTGTATTAATTGATTAATTTATATTTTTATATTTAGGACTGCAGTGAATAATTGAAGAATTTCTAAATAATAATTTATTTTTTAGGGTTATTAAAATATATAAGTACCTACATGTGTATTTTAAAAATAACTACATAATACTGCATATTTAAGCTTTTTTTAGCGTAAATGTAAGAACATTTTTTTTTAGTGCAAAAAGTTCCAATTCCTGGTTATAACTATAGGTCCCGTATTTTAAATACTTAATAACTTATAAGTAGGTAGGTACTTATTTAAAGTTTCGTTGAGCAGAGACGCAGAGTGATCATGTTGGTCTATTACTAAGATGTTCTGAATAAAAGAGGACCAAAAAAATTTTTACAATAATATATATTGCACCAGGGTTTGGTTAAAAATCAAGAGCCAATCTCGTGTAGGTAGATCGCAGGTATCTCTTGAACAATAACATAGGTAGCCCATAGGTCATAGGCACTATTGCACTAAATAGTAAAATTGGAAAGCAATGTGTGAAGATACATTTAAGTGTTGGCACCTAATGTACCCTAATGATGTATTATTTTAAAAATGTACCCAAACGTTTTATTCATTTTTGGTGTTTGCATTTTAATAAAATAATTTGTGAAAAAAGCTTATTTTTAAAGACATATTGATATATTATAATGTTTGGAACATAAATATTGTTAAACGGAACCTTCGCAGCCTGTAGAATAATACCCTCTATGAGTTAAAAAAAATTATCAAATGTTGTTAATTCTACAGGGCATGATCATTATTCATTATTCTCTTAAAGTGTAATTTCATAGACAAAATTACATTGGCGCCTTTTACTATTTAATATTATTGTTTTGGTCTATTATCTTTATCAATTTATAATTCATAGATTGATAAGGGAATGCCAATAAGTGATAACGGCTAAACGGCGGTGTGTGGACTCTACTCCGTACTCGGTAGTTGACACTTGTGACTGTGTGTATGATTGATAAATAAGTAACTTACTGGAGTCTGGAGTACTGGAAGCTGGGTGACTGGTGAGTACCTACCTATACTGTTTAGTATGTAAAGTATGTTTTGTTTTCAAATTTTCCAATTTTCTCGTTTATTCGTTTTCAATCTTCAACACTCGAAATTTCGAACAAATTTTTAAACATTTCCATCCACCAGTGACCGACGACCGTTGACCTGTGTATTATACCTCAAACCTCCATAATTGTGCTGTACTTTCAATTTTATAACATATGAGAAGCACTAAAAGGTAGCACTAACACACATACTAATTTTATTATAATTTATAGGTTTAATCTAAACTTACCCAGCCTACATATTATGTACAAGCTTTAATTTTAAAAAGCTTTCTCCATATAATCCAACCATTTCACATTAACAATTCAGGTCAAAAATGGATACAATTATTGGATTGATTATTTGTTATCACCACATAATTTAAATAGGTAGGTAGGAATGCATTGTCGATAAATTATTGCTAAAGCCTCCCCACAGTGTCTTAGGTTCAAAAATAAAAAAAAATAGGTAAGTAGGTTCCTACTTAGTTTCGATATGATTTTGTTTACATTTGACCTAAAAGTGTATATTGAGAACATTAAGAGATACTCAATATTATTTTCTTTATGTTCCTTCTTAAAATCTAGAATTTAAAACACAATCTATTAAAGTTCTATCTACTAAAGTTATCTGAAAATAAAAATAGTGAAATAAAAACATCAGTATGTTTATGGGTATGTGTGGTATCTTATCTTTTATACATAATATTTTCCTTCCTTCTGTTCTCTATTTGTAAACACATTCTAGTTACATTAACAAATAAATAAATAGGTAATTGTGTATTTTTTATTTCAAGCATATTGATTAAAAATTACTAAAATTTAAATATGATACTTGAGTAGTAAAAACTATTTAAACTTTATAACTTTTTTAGATATCTTTAATTCTGTGCATCAATGACACCAATAATATCTAGGTAAATATCTAAATGACATAACTAATACATTAAATATTTACTATGTTTTAATTATTTGTATATAAGTATGAATAATAATAATAATAATAATATAATTAATGAATTATGATAAGTGAATCTTCACTCTATTAAACTACTTATTATTAACGTCATTATTTTATTGGAATAATACATTTACTTAAAATTTATTTTTTTCCAATAAAATCAAAAATTGATAATTTAAAACTGTTGTGGATTATAATATCTTTTTGTCACATAACGGATGAATTTGTCATAGTCGTCTACAGATTTTTTTTTGTTGCAAATCTTAAAATAACATAAATTTGTTTTATCTGTAAAAGTAAATTGTGTGTTATAATTTAAATCAACAAATAAATGGTATACTCATAATTTTATACTTTTCAGGCGTATCATTTCAGTTTTCAGTTTTAGTGCCAAAATGTTTTCCGTTATTAAATTATTAACAGTCTTATAGCTTGGTGTGTACCTTTTTGTATACCTTGTATATTAAATAACAACTATACTCTGCTCCAGGAAAGAACATGACCTTAATGCTGGGTATGTTCGGGAACACTCGGCGCTATAATTTATATATATTATAACCTATATTGTCGCGACATAAAATGGAGGAAATTGTGCTGCCCTCAGTCTTCATGCGCATTACCGTTCTCTCCTAGCGCAGAGTAAAAGATGCAATTTTTTAACTTTTTTTTTTATTTTTCACATTTTGAAAGGTTTCTGAGATTTGTTTTCAATATAAATAAATACAGTTACATTGTGCCATTTATAAATTATCTTATAATTATTATTTGTTCTTTGTCATATAATATATTGCTATTAAAAATTTGGCCGAGGTAGTTGGTCAATTATTGGACCACAGCATTTACAGTATTAAAAAATTTACAATACATATTGGCACTTCTGTTTTACTTTGGGCAGGCAGAAGGTGTTTTACAAAAAATAGGTGTTACTACTTAATTCACACCCCCTGCTCCCCTCAAATGATGCACTTGATACTATATTATACATAGGATATTAAAATATTCACTACACAATTTATGACTTACAATTTTTCTTACCTTTTTTCTTGTTAAAATGATCAATACTTTTCATATTTTGGAGGTTTTCAAATGTTGATTGCTGTAAATCCTCATTTTTAAATTCATTTTCTGTGAATTTGTCAAAATATTTGCCATTTAATGATGTCAATTTTGATGGTTGATAAAAATCTTTTATTTTCTCTACTTTATCATTCTCTTTAACAGCATGTTGATTATTTATATCCTATTTACTCAACAAATAAATAAAAAGTAGCAGGTTTACTTATTGGTCAATTTTAATTTCATAACTCAGTCAGTGTTACCTCTAAAAACTGTTTAAATAACGATATCATATTTTCATTTGATAATTTTGAATCATCGCCAAGCTCCAATCCAGTTGAACAGATTACAGTAGTTATCAATATTTGCAAGACCATTATTTTCCACCAATTTGTTGCCATATTCTTATTGTCTGTAAATATACAATAAAATTGTAATAAGTATTATTAATTTGCCATTCTTAATTGTATATATTGATACAATTATGGTTATGTGCATAATAATTTGTACCTGGTATTCAAATTAATTAAGGCAGTCATTAATATAAAATATTATTATAATTTATGCCTAGGTTACCTATTCCAATAAATAAAAGAATTAATTAGTTTTAAGTGGGTATGTGACATTTGAAATAAATGATATGTATAATTAATTTTAGGTTTAACTATATTAATTAAATCCAATTAAAATAACAAAATTAAAGAGAATATTAAATGTATAATTCTACACCTTTATAATTGTATTTGTAACATGAATGTACTATAATTTAGTCAGTGGTGTATCGTACAAGTGTGCTATGTGTGCCAATGCCTGGGCTCATTATTGCTTATTATTAAAATTTTCAATTTTTCTAGTGTTTTTGGATTTTTAATCAATTTGTAAATTAAAAAAAAATAAAAACTGGTCTGACTTTAGATAATGCAAAATATATAAAATTAGGTGGACGATGAACGTGCTCACCAAAATTATGACACTTTAGAAAAGACTATTGTTTATATGAAAATTAAAACAGCCTTTGATAATATTGTCTAAAAAAATATTTATTATATATAATTATATTTGTTTAAAAGAGTGAAATTAGGTTTTTTATTAAAGGTTATTTTATTTTACTTGTTTCAAAAGGTGAAATTATGTTTTTATTTTTAAAAATCTAAAATGTTGTCCGGAGTCACCAAAGACTCATTTGAACTGGTTTTTCGACCATAACTGCGTTTCCAAAGCCACTCTGCTTATGGGATGACTTCGGACAACTTTCAAATTTTTAAAGAAGTTAGTTAATTTGGATTAATATTAACTGAAACGACTGTTAAAACTGTAGACATGTCTAGATAATATATTCTTTTTTGGCAAATTTTTTATTGAAAGTATCAACCTGTTTTTAACAAAAAACATAAAATAATGTCTGAAGTCACCCAATTTTATAGTACTCATTTGTGTGTAATTCTATCTTATTTTAAATGTAATTTAAAATTCAATAAAAATGAATAGTACTTTTAGCTGATTGATTTGCATAAGATTTTTTTATTTTAGAATAAGAATATTTGCATTAAATTTAGGTAATTGTATAAACCTATATTATACATATTATTAATTAAAAGGTGAAGGGGATCTTTTTTTACACACTCGTCTCATCTATTAGATGAATTACTGATAATTATTGAAGTATTGTGTGAATCATTTATTTTCCAACAAATATGATGATTATAGTTTATGGGCTATTTTTTGAAACCGTATCAAATTATTTGATTGATTAAAAAGCATTTACTACTATGCATTTTCAATTACTTTTGTTGGTTATATTTTATTTTTTATTTTCATGGAGTTAGAGTATTATAAAAACAATTTAATGTTGTTTCAAGATGTTTTTATAGTTAATAACAAAGTTAAATTAAATAGATTGCAAAATCTTTATCTTTAATCTTGTTCTCATTATTGTAGTTTTTCAGTTTATGTCTTTTTTTATAGTTGGAATATGCTTTCAAATGATATTAATAGACAATAATTTCAAATGTAAGTGTGCTATTCACTACAGCAATAATCACACATTATTATTGCAGATATTAATACATTTTTGCATATTTATAAGTTAATCATAATGCATTTTAGTTATGGATTTAGTTAAATAACAACTGTAAACTGCTGGTTGTGCATGATTCATAACATAAATTTAATGACATTGAATAGTTTATTTGTTTTTTATATTGACTTATTAACTTATTTTTTCCTTAAAATAGTTATAATCTTTTCTACTCGAGAACTTTTATTTTTATCCATTATGAGTATAATCAAATGGTAGAAACATAAGTTATGTTAATAGTTTTATATAACTAATGCTTTTTGAATGTTAATTGTAAATTGTATGTAAATTAGTGTTCGAGTGAGTTGATGGAAGGGTAGTGACATGTTGTCTTTTAATTATTTTTAATTATAGGCGTACGCAGACTCTAAAAGTAGGTAGTGCTCTGTATCAATATATTAACATCCACCCTCTAGTTAACAATTTTATAAATTCAACACATCTAAATTTTATTTTTTGACATTTTTTTATGTTATAATGTTATAAATAACGTTTTAAAGCTCTGCTAGGTATACATATTTTCACAATTATTAATAAATAATCTGTATTAAACTACTGAGTGCACATAGTGAATCATTCAAATTTGTTTCAAATTTGCTTTAAAAATATTATCTAAAATTTAATTTTGTATTTTTGGTATATTTATGACAAATACTCGAGTAATATAATTGAGGCATAGGATGCTTCTGCCCATAAAAATTTACAGGGCTAATGCTTATGTTCTCAATAAGTTATTCAGCATTTAAGTCTTAAAAAACAAAAATATTTGCGTCCCTTTCATAGATCTTATACTACTAAAAAACTAGATTAGAAAAGAACTGTACATAATAATAGGATTACGAGTGACGTAATAATATCTTACCGTGATGTAGGCTATCTTTATTAAAAAATACAATAATCTATGTGTCTATAAATCTTACCCTGCTACCCGCGCTACTGTTTATAGAAGTAATCGAGCTTTTCATACACTTGTTGCTTGGCTAGTAGTATAAGGTCTGTGGTCCCTTTGTTATTTAAGATTATGATTTCTGATTAAAGTATAGTGAAATATATTAATTAATTAGTAGTTTTGATCACTGTTATCTACATGGTACTGTAGTCCCACAAATATTTAAGAAAATAAAAATATACCTATAGTCTAAAGAAATCACTGCAAATACAAGTTATAGTTATGTAATTTAAAGTTTTTATTTCTTTTGTTCCTATTATTGCTATTTAAGGTTAACCATATACAATACCTAATTTCAAATAAAAACTCAAAAATGATTTTTAACGAGTTTTAACAATATATTTTTTTCTAAGGATTTGAATAGTAAATATTTAATACATCAATATTCAATATGTTTATAGCTAACAATGTTAAAAATTAAACTTGAATGAATAATTATATCAAATTCATTATTTTAAAACATATCAATTTTGATATTTGATTATTCGATAATTAGACTCTAATAATTAATCTAACACAACTTGAATTATGTAGGTAGGTAGTAAATTTACTTAAGAGGACATTGCACCCGCGCGTGTGTTGTCTCCGTCTCACAAGAGCTTAACAAGGGCTTCTCATGGGATTTTTATTATATTTTTATTTTAAAGAGAGTTATGAGTATTTAAAAATTGTAAATTGTTTGTACAACTTAAAATACTCATAACTAAAGACCGGATTTATATGCATTTAAAATGTTAAAATATGCATGCAAATATGCACTTAAAAAGTTCTGAATATGCACTTAAAAATCATAAAACATGCAAAATAATTTTTGATTATTACAGCTTTTTATTTATGTTAAAATTATAAAATCAAAACATTTATGACGAAAATATGCACTTAAATATCACAAAACATACAAAATAAATTTTTATTACCTATTACAGCTTTTTATTTATGGAAAATTTATAAAATCAAAACATTTATGATGAAAAAAAAATAATAAACTACAATATTATATACAATATATTTTATGAATTTATGATTGTGATAAAAAATATATAATTTATTTGTTATTGGAAAAACAATAAGTAACAATAATATGTTCCATATTGATCTCAGTTAAATTATGACGGCGATTTGTGACAATATGTTTGTATGCAGAAAAACTTCGTTCCACATCAACACTTGTTATGGGTGCATATTTAAAACTTGACAACATTTCCGGGGAAAAGTGTTTGATAGAAGAACTTAAGTCAACATTCTCACCTTGGTGTATTTTAGAAATTTCTTTTAAAATTAGCAGGCCTTTGTTTTTTTTAATAATGTCGGAACATTTTTTTTTAATTAATACGCTATTTTCATTTTCTGAAAGATTATTGATAGCATTTGTAACTTGTTCAAATATTTCTAAAGCATTTATGAGTAGCAAACCTGAAGTCTCAAGCTTTTTAATACTTTCAACAATAACCGAAAAATTTGTTTTAATATAAGTTAAATCGTTAATTATATTTGATTTAGTTAGAATTTGCTTACAGTTTTTAATGCTTTTTACATCGTCTTCTGGTAGGCTTTGTATAACATTTTTAAAATTTTCGAAATTATCTGCATAAAATATTGCTGATTCTAACCAAGCACCCCATCGTGTTATTATAGGTTGGGGCGGTAATGGTTTATTAGGTAGCATTTCATGATATAATTGAATTCTATAAGGAGCTTTCAAAAAAATCTTTTTTCCGTTGTTAATTAAATCGTTTATTTCATGAAAAATATCCATAATATTTTCTGCAATCCGATGAATCCCGTGAGCAGCACAAGTCACATGAATAAGATTGGAATAAAATGGTTTTAAATTTTTGGCAGCCTTAACCATATATGGGGCTGCATCGGATAACATCAACAAAACTTTTTCGTCATTACCTCCCTCTGGCCATTTTGGCATGATATTATTGGCATTATTCTATATTCTGACATTATTGGCATTGTAATTTAAAAACACAAACAATGTTATATAAAATTAATATGTGTTTATTTAGAACTACGTTGACGTCGTTGACTATTGCCGAATGTACACTTCGAACTACAGTCGTTAGTCTGTCAGTCTGTGTTCTGTAGTATAAATAAACGATAGTCGATAACTTGATAATGTTAGATAAGATAAAACTATACGACGGGAAAATCAGTATACAATCTGCCTATTATATTTTTAAAAATATTTTCAATTTTTGTGTTTTGAACAAATTTGTGTATAATAATGGTACATACAGTTATAAAATTAAATAAAAATATTTAAATATATACGTAATATGCAAAAACATGCATTTTTATGGAAAATATGCACTTGAACCCAAAATATGCAAAAATATGCAAAATAAAAATTTGTAACATTATTTGTTTAACTATGATT